ACATCCAGAAACCTTCAAACTCTTGCAAGAAAATGTAGGAAATACCCTGCAAGACCTAGGAGTAGGTTCCGACTTTCTAAGAAGGACACCAAAAGCAATAGCAGTTGAGAACAGAATAAACAAATGGGACCTCATCAAACTAAGAAGCTTCTGTACAGCAAGGGAAACAATCAACAAAGTAAAAAAGCAACCCACAGAGTGGGAGAAGATCTTTGCACACGATATAGGCGATAGGGGGCTAATTTCCAGGATATACAAAGAACTTCAAAACAACCAAAAAACCAAAACGAACAAGCCACTCAAGAAATGGGCACGGGAAATGGGCAAACATTTCACAAAGGAACAAGTCCAAATGGCAAACAAACATATGAAAAAATGTTCCAGCTCCCTAGCAATAAGGGAAATCCAAATTAAAACATCGATGAGGTACCACCTAACACCAGCAAGATTGGCCCACATAAACAAGAACACCAACGACGCTTGCTGGCGAGGATGCGGGGAAAAGGGAACCCTACTCCACTGCTGGTGGAGCTGCAAATTGGTACAGCCTCTATGGAAATCAGTCTGGAGAACACTCAAACAACTCAAAATCTGCATACCATATGACCCAGCAATAGCACTCCTAGGAATATATCCAAAACACCTGCTTTATGACAAACCAACATGCATCCCTATGTTCATTGCAGCACAATCAGTAATTGCAAAAACATGGAAGCAACCAAAATGCCCATCAGCAGAAGATTGGATAAGAAAGCTTTGGTTCATCTACTCCATGGAATACTACTCAGCTATTAAAAAAAACAAAATGCAGTTCTTTGTGGCTAAATGGGCACAACTGGAAACTATAATGCTAAGGGAAATGAGTGAATCCCAAAAGATTAGATACCACATGTTTGCCTTGATTTAACCTGTAATTTTTGTATGGTTGTTTGTTATTTTTTGAACCTGTCATTGATACTGTCTCAACCCAGAGGTTTCGAAGAATGGAACTTGCATTATTTTTAACATATTGTTTACCCAATACTATGTCAATTAATTCCATAATGTTGTATATTGATACTGAGGCCTTGTTGGGGCTTTTAACTGACCGGATCTTTACTCTGTTAGACCTATCTTCAGACCATAGAAGGTCTCCCCAAGAGGCCACTGAACTTATCTGGACAATAAGACGCTGAACTTTATGTTAGGCATGTGTTTGCAAGCAATGAATCTCAACTGAACTTGAACTATGGTTATGCAACAAGGTGGAAGAATCCACCATGGGGGGAGGGGTATGGGAGGGGTGGGGGGAATCCCCAGCGCCTATAAAACTGTACTACATAATACAATGTAAGCAACAATAAAAAAAAAAGAATTCTACATGTCCTGTTATATTTAGAAAATTATTTTCACAGTTATATTTGGATGATATTTTTCTTTATGAGACAACAGTATTTGAATTTCTACAAATCATTTAACCCTAGGAGAAAATTGTATAATACATAAGTGAGTCTATTATTATCAAATGGCAGGAAAGAATAATTCAAGCTATGATGATTATGGTTTTTGTTAATAGGCTAGAATGTTACTTGCTTGTTGTCAATGAACATGGAAGCTTGACATTTATTATGACAACTTAAAAGAAAAACATAGTTGCATTATTTTACCCATTTCAACAATCTTGAATTTCAATTTAGCACAGGCTTGATGAGCAATATTAACAATTTTGTAATCAGTTCACAACATTTTGATTAATCTAACGTGATCATTCTCCACTTCAGAAGCACAAACATTCAAATTCACAACTTTGTTCATTGTTCTCTGTTAAACATACTAGCTGATGTTTGGAACACAATTAGATTTGTTCATTTGTTATTGGAAGTATATTATGGCCACAGAATAATTTTACTAATACATTTTAGAAATGCATTATGGTTTTGAAAGGGAGGCAAGTTTTGGAAAGGTCTGTGGTGATCCTGTGATGGGCCAGGCAGGGAGATGATCTGAACCCTCTTCTGCTTCTCCAGGCAGCAGAGGTTGGGAAGCTGCACACTTACTTTCCCAGCACGCCTTGCACTAGCAGTCACTACAGGATGCACTTCTCCTCAGCAACATTTGAGTGGAGCCTGTGGGCATGGTGTGGACTCTGAAGGAGTCTGTCCTCTCACAGTTTTTCCTTCAATGTGAGTGGGATGTCCCGAGACACTGTGCAACCAGAGGTAATGAGTGTGCAGAAGAAAAGTCAATGATGCTTGAACAGTAAAGTCAAAATATCCAGAGCCAGGGCTTTGGATAACATTGCTGAACTGTTATATGCTCCTTTTATGTTTGTCTTCTTCCAGGCTTTTTTTTTTTAATTAAATAAGATGATTAAATGGATATATTATAGAAGTAATGGCTTGTCTACCAGTTTTTTTTCTTGTCTATTTACTGCTGGCTATTAGCAGCTTATTCATCTAGTTTTCTCTTTGGAAAATTAAGTCCACAATGTTTTGAAGACAAAGTCAATTCTGTATCAAAGAAAAGGCAAATTCACTTCTGTAGGAGTTATTTTAAGGAATACGTTCCAATTGAGCAATGATGAAGAAATGTTCATAAAGAAAACTTCAAAATTTTTGTACAAAAAAGGAATTAAAAAACAAAACATTGCATAAATATTAAAATCCATGCCTATTCAAAATCTTCAAAAAGGTTATGAATAATGTGTAATGTAAAAGAACTATTTGTGGATTTCAAAAATATGCTCCTCAAAATAAACTTTGTGTTCCAATTTTCCAAAAATTTTCTGATATACCCTCACATATGCTTGTGCAACAAAGGAAATGTTCATATAGAACAGAGAGAATATGTGATCACTAAGTGCTTAAAATCTGGCTCCTGCTGTTGAGTCACTACATTTTTAATTTATGCTGCTCTAGCTAATTTAAATGGAAATAGCCACATGTGACTAATAGCTATCATATGAAATGGTACAGATGTAAAGAATTGCTATGATATTAAACATGACTCAATGGGGCTTTACACAGTCTCATGTTTGAAGGCTGTTAAACAATATTTAACTTGCATATTAGCTAACTACACAGAACTGATGCCAATTTAAACATTTTGCATTGACAACTGCAATAGAGGATCTTTTTGGAATAATGATCTTATTCAGATTATAGGCATTCCGCTGTTTGTTAAGATTTTGTATCCCCAATTACCTATGAAAAGAATAATGATACTTTGCCAGTCTCATTATGCTGTATGGGTATGACAACTCTTTGAGACAAACTAAATTAGTCTACAGAAGCCTACCAGATATGCTAGAGAGAGTCGTAAAGTGGATCAACATGGTGCTGAGAGCCATGCGATGCTGAGATGTGGCACCCAAGGCATTCCTGAGGGGACAGGAGCAATGGATACAGATTCTACCAGAAGCCAGCAATCTGTGCCTGTCATGTCCTGAACATGGCGTGCAGCATTATCTATTATCCCCAAATGTGATCTGGAGAAATGATTATCCCAGGGCTTGGTGTCATGTTAAGCTGAATCCTTAGCATACTAGGAAGCAAAGATACATCACAGCAAGCATTTCTACTCCCAAATAAAAGGAGGACTCCCCATGAAACTGGTAAATATACCTTGACAATTTAATACTTTCTACCATTGCCTATACTTATGATGCCATGATACACTTAAATTGCAGAATGTTGAACTTGTAACTGTAATACTACTGTAATAAAGGAGAAAATAGGGGAGGAGAAATGGGAGGAGAAGAGGGAATCCTTATGCCTCAAAGCGATATCATGGAAAACAATAAAAACTATGAACAGTTTAAAAAAATTCAAGGTGAGTGAACACTATTAATATAAATGACATTTTAATGCAAATAATTATATGACTTTTCCAGAACAGAACTAGTTCATGAGAACAATGGCATTGTTTCTTACTTATAGAAAGATATTTAAATTTTTGATTTTATAAGAAACAGATGGATTATAGTATTTACTAACAGTTTTTGAATATGAATTTGAATTATAATTTATTGTAATGTTATTCTGGTTGAAGTTATGTAGGAAATTCAGCCACACACCAATAAGTAATTGGAAGATGGAGAAACATTTCAATTGTTTTTCAAATGATAATAATTCTTTGACACTACACCCAAACTCAAACTATAGTACCTTCTAAAAATGTGGAATCTGAAACTGTACCACAAACTTTTCATACTGTTAAAATAAAATTCTCTAGTTAATCTTTTGGGGAAAAAAACCAAACAACCAACAAACAACAACAACAATAAACCCTAAATATTCAGCATTCTCACAATCACAGCAATTTTTAGGTTTCAAGAAACAACCAATTCTGCAAGAGTATAAGGTGTGATGGGGCTAGTAAATTCATCTTTCATCTCTTGAGAAACATCATAGCCACAGGTAACCCCTCCAGTACCATTTACACGTTGGCTGCTTGGAACAGGACCTTTTGTTTTGGGAACTTAAGTTCCTTCAGTCTGGTGTAACCCACACTTTTAGGAAAATGGTTGACAATTTGCATTTATTCCAGAAATGAGATTATTTGGACCAGTAATTTAATAGAAATGGTGAATTCATCTTCACTTCTCATATTTAGCTCTATATGTGCAAAATATTTACTTAAAAAATCAGATTCTGTTTTAGAAAGTTATCATTCTGTATTTTCAATCAGTAAGCATTTGCATTCATTGCTTCTTGAGAGAGAATTTTAGAAGCTGGATCTATGTAGAATTGATATGTCTCTCCAAAAATACTTGTTTATGTTCAGCATGACTTGCACATGAGATTGACAAACACTTCTTATCAGTTCACATAGCATTTCTTTGCAAACACCTATATTTTCTTCATTGGAACTGCTTTGATCGACTTATTTTTTGTCCAAATGATAGAGGTAACCATGTGTGACTATGAATGGCCTGCAGGCAGGCATAACACAGGGCCTCTGAAAGAAAGTGACATGCAGAAAGATCACAGTCAAAAGCATATCAAGACATGAGTTTTTACCTATGACGTGGCTCTGAAATGTGGAATCTGCAACAGGACCCTCGTCATCCTCTTGTAAGTTGTCATTCTCTCCTTTTATCTACAGCAACAAGAGAAGACTGAAAGTTTTTATTTTTATTAAATCTTCTGTATTCCTCAAAATAACAGGTTTTCCTGCCAAAAATGTGTGGATGAGAACACATATACACTTGTGAGCACGTGAGGATGTATATACACATCTTTCTTTCGCCACTCTAGAATTTGGCTTTATTAAAAGTTTTAATCCCAGGAACATATTTTCAGAGCTTTTAGAAAGATTTATACGGGACCTAATGACACACAATATTATAACGTGATACATTATACATTTCTCTCTTTAAAAAAAAAAACTGGGATGTTTTGGAGTTCTTGATTACAAACAAATGACAAATATTTGAAAAGATAATTGTTCTCTGACAAAACATCTAACAGGGGATATCCAAGCTTAAAGATCAAAGAGTACCCACATATATACACAAATTTTATCTGTTAATTAAAAAGATAAGGCATTTATTTGTTTGAAAGGTGAAAAATGAGTGCACTCTCCATTCACTGCTTCATTTGCCAAATGCCTGCAACAGTGGGGTTGTGCAGGCTGTTGCCAGCAGCTGAGAAGTCAATCCAGACCTTCCTCACGGGCAATAAGGGCTCAACTATGTGAGCCATTCCCAGCTACCTCTCAGGGTGTGCATTAGCAGGACCTGGAATCAGGAGTGGAGCCAAGACCCAACTCTGATACGCAACACAGGTCTCCAAAACCACTATGCTACACATCTGCCTCACAACACTGGTTTCAATACTTATTAAAGTCTAGGAGGTATAACTCTTCCAGAGTCAGAGACTTCCTCAAGCTGCATCCATGAGACTAAAGAAATACACTGATGTCATCCAAATTTCCTGCAACAGAACAAATGTTTTTTTTTTTAATTCTTCAAAAATAAAACGAGGTGATTGGGATGTAGACAACTGCAGTGATGTGTCTTTCTAGACTTCTATACAAAAACATTTCCCTGCTATTCTAGTTGGAGTACCCAGGGGCTTGACTGGCATAGTATCAGTCTGGAGAGAAACTCATGAAATTATAGTGCTGTACAGGCAAGAAGTCTGAGGTTCCTTAAGCTTCCCGAAATTAGTGCTCAAAGAGCAAGTGATAACACCAGCATAAAACTTGAGTTTCCTCTTCCCTATCCAGCAGCAGCAGCAGCAGCAGTAACAGCCTTAAAGAAACCGGCAAACAGACACTGGGTGGCAGATGCTAGTGAAACAGTGACAGGTGTAATGAAAACAGCAAACACACTCATGTGTAGCAAGTGATATTTAAGATCCTCACATATGGGGTCTTAAAACCCTTACAACCAACAGGGTTCTGGAGCAGGTGCTACTGTGAGCCTCATTTTACAGATGAGGACCCAACGCCAAGCAACAGAGGAGATAAATATTTGTCTAAGCAATGAAGCTGGGACTCACACACACCAAGTCTGAGTCTAAATGTGTGGTTAATTTGGGGAAATCTATTATTCTCAATTGTCCACTCAACTATGACTGTGCCTATGTACTGCCTCAGTATCATGATACCACATGCTTCTTGGTGGAATGACTCCAAGTAGCTACTGAAAACTGCATTTCTGCAGTCACCTGAACTGCTGATGATAATAATGTGAACTGAGCAATACAATGGGAGTCTTGCTCAGGTTCATATACTAGAGATGGATGATGAGTTTGCTTAGGGATTTATTGATAAGAGCAGCCATTACTTTATACTTGCAAGGTATAAGCTCATACTGTTGTATACTGACGGTGAGCTAGATTTAGGTTGCTACTTTTTCACTCCCGTTTTTCATAGTTAATGGAACAACACCAATTACTTACATTTTATGAGTTCAGTTCCAATATTAGAATGTATTTGGTGCTTAATCTTACCATATTGATAGCTAGAATATGCCAACTGTAAGAGTGTGTGTAGGCAGTCAGAAAAATCACCACACTAGGAGAGGTTCGCATTAAAATGGTTATCTGTTTTCTGGGTATTATCAAGTATATGATCCCATTAAATTTTGTTAATCATTTTTACTTTTGTCCACTTGGAGTTAAACAGGAGCCTAAAACTATAATACTGGGAGTTTCTCATTTAAGAAAGTTATTTAAATTCATAGGAATAAGGAACAGACAATGCTAAAAAAAAAAATGATGCAAAATGTGTAGTAAGCTGAATATACCTCTCTCTGGCTTACTGACTTTATGCCTACGAAATAGTTCAGGCTAACATCTTGACTTTCTTTCATTTAAATTAAATAAAATAATCTCAATTACAAAGTAACATGGCCCCTGGTCTAAACTACACAAAGACTAAAACTAAGTGGTTTATAATCATAGTTGAAATTGGAACAGAAGCCACTAATTAGAGTTTTGAAAACAAAAATAGACTTAGTTCAGCAAAGTGCTAACAGGATTTTTACAGCTATATTAGTATCTAACAGTACTAAAAAGGGAAATGCAGCTACATTCGAACAAAGTGAGGCTTTGCTACATACATTAATTCTTTTTTTAAAGATTTATCATTTTTATTATTTTTTTATTGGAAAGGCAGATATATAGAGAGGAGAGACAGAGAGGAAGATCTTCTGTCCGATGATTCACTCCCCAAGTGAGAGCAAAGGCCGATGCTATGCCGATCCGAAGCCAGGAGCCTCTTCCAGGTCTCCCACACGGGTGCAGGGTCCCAATGCTTTGGGCCGTCCTGGACTGCTTTCCCGGGCCACAGGCAGGGAGCTGGAAGGGAAGCGGGGCTGCAGGGATAGAACCGGCGCCCATATGGGATCCCGGGCATGCAAGGTGAGGACCTTAACCACTGTGCCACTGCGCCAGGCCCCATACATGAATTCTTACAAATATGGAAAATAATCTTTCTATTTAGACTGTGGATTAAGATAATTAAAATGTGTTAAAATTTTCATAACCAAATATAATTTTGCTTTGTAAAGTGTGATTGACAGTGGTGTATTATGTGTTAAGGTTTTTGAACAGTGATTCTATTCAGGCAAAAAGAAAGAGAGTATGATAAAATGTCATAAACAGCTACTGTTTCAACACAAAGTAACCACTGTGAGAAAAATTCCTTACAGCTCCTTCTGATACCAGCAGATAGCAAATTTACCTTTAGTTCTTGTCAGGAAAATTCCCTAAAACTCTGAATTTTAAAAGGCTCACAAGTATTCACGTTATCATGCTTTGATAACGTAGCTTCCTATCCAGGCTGATCATACATAATGAATGGATTTTTGCTGCTATTCTTGTACTGGGCCCAGTGGAGGCTACAGCTACATCCTGTCTGAAATTAGTCATGTCAACCAAAACCACAATGACATTTATGGAAATGAAATAGAAAACAATGCATTTGACATTCTTACAAAAACGGACAAACTGATCATTAATGTGAGTTAACTCTACTGCAGTGTCAGGAAAAAAGCTTCCCAACAGGACTAAATTCCTCTTTGCAGCTCATGAGAAAAATTAGCACACATCCATTGCTGATGTGTTTGGATGCAGAGTGAGATGCTGTACTTTACATAAACAGTGTTTCTGGCAGCTATTCTTAGAGTACCAAAGAACCCTTGTCACTATACTGTGTGCTAAGACTGCAGCTGAGAAAGGAAAAGCACAACAATTTCTTCAGCATTAGGAAGTAATGCAAAAATAAAATTAAATTGTAAAAGGCAAACAGAAGGACTTTTTGTTTTCTGGGTACTTCTTACAGTGAAGATGCACCTTAGGCTGTCAGATACCACGCTAAATGGGACATAAATGGTGTTCCTTCCGATAACAGGCTCTGCCAGGTTATCAAAGTTTTCTGTCAGCTGGATTGAGTTTCTGGTATCTTGTACATTTCCACATGTTCATTCCCTCTCTTTCCTTTCAGTGACACTACAAGGACACCCTTGGATATGGTTACGGTTTGTGGTTTTATAATGCTGGGGACAACTATATCTTTAAAGAAGGAGTGACACTAGGAAAGCAAAGAGCAAAATAGATTTCAGAGTTTGAAAAAAAGTCTTCATAATTTTTCATAGATAAGTGCTATTAGAATACAAAAAATGTAAAAAGCACATATATTTCCAGTGAAAATCTGTCTATGAAATCATTACCTAGGGAATGCTAAACACTGAGGAATAATAACTAATAACTACTAATGTCAAACAGTTATTTTAGAATCTCAACTCTTGAACCACACCAGGAAAAATACATAATTATCTCTCATTTAAGTTTTCCCTCAGCAAATGACAGCATGGACTACATATTGTTTTTAGTAGAGCACAAAAAGAAGCAGATATTGTTATTCCATAAAGAACGTTTGGAGGGAAGGAAGCTTACTTAAGTGCTTTAAAACTCACTAACGGGAACAATGGCAAACACCACCAAATCAATTACACAAGAGCAAAACCAAAGGGAGTGCAACTTATGGCAGCTTCAAGACAAAAAAAAAAGTTTTCTGAATCTGGCACACCCTAGGGAAATATCAAAGCATGTTTTCATTTTTGTCAAAATTCAATTCACCTCCTGTGTTCCAAAACTCATAATTAAAAGGCTAACTGAGGAGGAGCCCAGTTTCCAAAAGGGTTTCTTGGTGTTAACACTGGGTGCTCAGAATTCATGACAAACGAACTGTGCTGAAACCAAATCATAAAACAGCCTTAAATTGCGTAACACTTTTTTTACTTTTAAAACTGCGCTCATTCTTTTTCTGTTGTGGGTGGGGTTGGGATTCATCATGAAAACAAACTTCAGCAAAGGTATCATTTGGGATGACACCAGAAGCCTCTGCTGCCTACACTGTTCTGTGACTGAATTTTACTCTTAAAACAACACTGGGGGAGGCAGTGTCCCTGGAGCCAGCAGTGTCCACATGTTGTCCAGCTGCCATCTCACTGCTGAGGTTGTCATTAGACTCCCTCTCCTTTTAAATCTTATTTAACAACAACAAATAACTTTCTCCTATACTCAGTCCCCGAACCTCCTGCTCATATATTTGCATCAGCAATAGGTAGTAACGACACAGGTAGAATAGCTCAAAATGAAGCTATTTAGAACCAGCATGGTGGCACACTTACCAGGGAGTCTCTAGGTGTTTCCGTATCAGCTTTGGTCCTGGTGTTTTTCTTGTGGTTTCCTGGCGTGGAAGAGCTCTGGGAACTGTCCTTTAACACACTCCTGCAGGAAATATTATTTGATCCACTTTCTGTCTGTTGGGCTACTTTCTTATCAACTCTGCAGGTAGAAAATGATTCCTCTGGTAAATTACACTGCTCTTCTTTCTTGACTCCCTTTTTCACAAACCTTTACAGTAACCTCCATACAACACTCTGTCTCTAACCCTTTGTATGACATGTGTCACTTACCAGTGTTTACAGAATCTTCAAATAGTAAAGTAACTTGTTAATTTAGATTTGATACTACAATAATTTATAACTTCTGGAGGGGGAGGGGAAAAATAAAACCATGGAAGAGTGATTATTAAACACATTTTGCCCAAAGATGGGCAGGAATTATAATTATTTCTAATAAGGTTTCTAATCACACATTTGCTCAGTACAATTGATGAAATTGGCATGCTTTAAAATATATGTGTCATTTTCTTTCATTTCATGCCATGTGAGTGCATTTATGATTCCTAGTGTAGGTTGAATTTTACATCAACCTTGATAAAAGTTACCATTCTTTAATTTCAAAGACCACTGGTTTGGTTAACAAAGTAACAAGGACTAAATTATTACTTTATTGCCAACTTCGATTTCCTTGTTTAAAATTCTGGCTAATATATAAAAAATTATGACTATGGTTCCTACTTGGATGAAAAGCATGCTAGACTGACATTTAACAAGCAAGGAGTGAACAGCTCTGTTCTTTGTGGATGAGGGTCCCCTCTGCCGTAACCCCTCTTTCCCAGCGAGTTACCTGTTCAACAGTTCTGTCATGAAGGTGTCATTTGTTGGACATGTGACTGGGACGGTTCTGCTTCTGGGTTCAAATTTTGTTTGGCTGTAAATGTTTTGTGGCATTTTCGCACTGGTTTTGCTCGATAAGCCACCATCCGGCCCATCTGCTGATTCCGTATCCTTGCTAAGCCCATTTCCCATCCCATAATGCAGCTCGGGCTTCTTTTTCTCTTTTTTTCTGTCTGATTTTAGCTGTTTGTTTCCAAATCCCAGCACTTTTGCATCTTTCTTCTCCATTTTGGTTTTGGGAACATCCATTTTCCTGCTACTGAGAGCTGGAAGTCGGCTCTTCCGAAAACCAAACCAGTTGGCGAATGAAGGCCCTGGCTTCTGCCTCGCTTCCACAGAGGTCGACTTTGTTTGCACTTGGCCCTTTTCCACATTTTCCTGAATGCACAACATGACCTTTTCTTCGATTGTGGGTGAGAGGGGGGCTTCTGGATCCATAGTACCAGTCCTTGTTGTAGAGGCATCTGGATGCCTTTCAACAGTTTCCATCTTGGATATCCTGCTGGTTTCAAAATTGCTGGGATGCTGTGTCCTGCCTGGGCTCGGCAAGGCCCCAGGGCAGTCTGTTGCCATGGCTACGCACCTGCAGTGGTCACTGCCTGGTTCTACAGGTACGGGCACACTGGCACATTCTTCCTGAGTGTATGTCTGCGGGGGCTCTGCTCCAGGAGGGAGGATCCCTTCGCGTTTTGGAGGGATCCTCAAAGGCAACTTACTAGGGCTCCCATGATGGCTGCTGGTGCTGTCTGTACCCCCCAGGGAGCCGTTCTTGGAAGATGGGTAGCCCAGAGGCCTCTCAGCACTCAGGAGGCTCTCAGGCATAGGAACAGAAGGGGTCTTGTTGAAAACACCTTCCACATTGGAGTTCTGCCGGGTAAGAGAATTTCCCCTGTCAGCAGTGTTGGTAATAATTTGAGTTCGGACTTTTCCGGGCCCTTCCGTGGTGGCCGGTGTGGAGGGCTTGTCTCCTGAGTGAGCGCTGAAGCTCTGGCTGCGGGCCTTGGCACCATTCATGCCGAGGGCTGGCTTCAAGTGTGGCTTGCTGGAGGACAGGGATCTTTTCACAGATCGGTTCTCTTGTCCATCTCTCCCCTCAGCCCCGGGGCTACTGTTTTCCAAGGACTCTAGCAGTGTTGTTTCTGGGGAAAACCCATCGGCTGCACTGTTTTGCCTCTGCAAATCCATTGCAGATGTGTCTCTGTCCTCTCTGGTAGTCTCAAGGCTTGCTGGAGCCATGTATCCCTTGGGTTTGGCCTTGTTTACAGCTCCAGAACTAATTTTAGAGGCTTCATTGAAACTATCTTTTTCTTGCTTCCCTGGGATTGTGGAACTTTTCCTGAGCAACTGGGGAGACTTAATGAGAACTTTGAGTCCCACAGGGAGGCGGGTTTTCAGTCCTTTCTCTGGGGTGTTTGGACAACCTTGAGGCGCAATTTGGCTTTTGTATAAAGATGATGAAGATGGAGGGCTATTCATCTGAGGTGATGCTGACTCATTCATCACAAAGAAGGAAGGCTTGGGAGGTGTGAGGACACTGTCATTCACCTGCTCTTTTCTACCTGGAGATATGGTTTTGCAGGATGCTGTTTCCAGGGACTCTTGGATTGATGGAGAACTCTTGGGAGTCTGTAACCCTAAGTCCATGTGTGCAGTTCCAAGGATTTGGTGAGGAGAGGTTCTGGGGATGCCTCTCTTTGGAGAGGCCCTGGGTGGTCCTGGAGTTACCCTAGATGAGGTGGAGGAGGGGCTGTGAGCAGGGCATCTGGCTTGAATTGCTGCCTCTGCAGGGGGCACAGGGTGAGCGAGGGTGGGCTTTCTGAAGGCCATAGAAGGCTTCCTCCTTTGTGTTTCTGCTGTGGCCTGAGAAGAAACAGCAGGGGTGGAGGGTCCCTTCAGCAGGGGGCATTTAAAGATGGTCCTTGGTGATTCACCAGGGATCCTGGTTTCAGGCCTGGCAGATGAAGCCAATGGTGAACAGTCATGACTAGCCCTGATCAGCAGGGAAACCGACCTGTCTGGAGGGGTTGGCGGGGAAGGGGACTTGAATTCTGCTTCTGGCCCAGAATCACAGAGTCTGTCCTTCGCTGGGGGGTCTTCACTGTTGCTAGGCTCCATAAGGGCCCTTGACCGTGACCCTGGAGTCTGCCTCTTGGAGCATGGTCCCCAGTCCCTCCTGTTGGGCATTCTGGAGCCATGAGAAAGCTGTGCAGGGTGCTTTGGAATGTGAGAATCTGCTTGTAAATCTGAGAGGGGTCCAGAGCTTTCAGTCTTTGTGATCTGTGAAAGTTTCATGGGCATGCAGGATGGTGACTTCTCAAGAGTCATAGGGCCAGAAGAGGGCCTGAATATGCAGGTTTCAGCCTCTATGATTCTTGTTTTCTGGGGTGAAACCTTGCCCCTGGCAGGCATTCTTGTGAGACTGTGCTTCTGATAGATACCCATAGATGCCGATGGCCCGGGATGACTCTGGTTTGATGCTCTGTGTGTTGCTTTAGTCAGTTTTGGTTGCTGAGTATCTGGCGTTACTGTCCTGGGGCTGAAAGATTCAATGGATGATGTGGGAATATCATCTACATTATGTTTTGGAATGTTCTTTTCATCTTCCTCTCCTGATCTCTTTAAAAAAGTACAGTCTCTTGCAGCATAGCTTGGCTGGAAAGGGGCATTTCTCTGAGGTGAAATTCCAGTGTGTTCTCCTGTGGGTGGATCAGGGGCAGCATCAATAGACATTTCATCTCTGGTAAGAGTGACAATTCCAGTCTGCTGCGAGCTGAACTGAATGGGTTCCCCATCTTCCGCATCAAATATTACAGTGATGCATTCTTCCGAAGAAGTCCTTTTCACCACCCTTTGCTGCTTAATGAAGCTGAATGTCTTCGGCCTAGTCGCTAAGTGGATGGGCACCTGCCTTGAATGCTCGTCAGGAGAGCCATGGTGAGATCCACCCAATTCCACAAGCATGTCCAGGTTCTCCGTGGACTTGTCGGTATCAGCTGTCAATGACAAATCTGATGGGCTTTTCTCATCACTGCTCTCAATGTGCAACTCATCGAGAGTGTCATTGTCATCTGTGTCTGAAAGCTGAAGACCAGCAGCCATGTGGCTGTGGTCCTGGCTGTGGGGGTCCTTGTCGCTCTGCAGCTGAGATGACTGCAAGCTTGGGAACCACTTCCTCTGCAAGGGACAGTTGCTGGCACAATGTAACAGCTTTTCAGGCCTTTCCCTGGGATACACTGAGAATGTGCCTTCGGAAAAGTGTTTTCTGTACGGCTCCCAGCCAACGAGACTGTCGGAAACACTGTGGGTTAATTTACTGCCATGAAGCCTGCAGCCCTGACTTGGAACTGTTTGTAGCAATGCTAACGAAGAGGACTCATCATCAGCATTATCATAGGAATCTGCTTCATAAACAAATGCCTTGTGTGGCTCCTTCCAGGGGCTCACGGGGCCACCTTGTTTGTAGGGGGGATATTCCTTGAGGCTGTTACACTTCACTCCTGGAGAATATATTCCTTCATTTGAATTCATGCAGTCTTTATAACCCCATTTGGTTATCACAGATGAGGGTTCAACTAATGTTTTTCGCTTCTGCAGCTTCCTTAGTCCTTCCAAAATGTGGCATTCCTTGATACGAGTGGGAGGTAGTTGATCCGGAGGACTGGCAAAGCCACTTGGGAGGGAAGAATCAACACTTCGCCTTTTATCCCAGTTCTGGGATGACTGCTAGGAGAGAAAAGTAACTGTCAGGAATGACTGAGCCACAGAGGATCACCAAACAGTTAAAGGAAAAGTCCACAATGGATTTCATTTGTATTATTAGTTGAAATTATTTCCATGAAAACACATATATTTATTAGAAAATGCATTTGCTTGTTAACAAACTGGCAGACATGGGGTTTGTCAGGTCTTATATTGAGCAGTGCAGTGACATAAAGAAATAGATGTTAAGGACCCTGCGTTCAAGGAGCACAGAACCACTAATGCAGAGGAGATCTGGTTGCAACAGAACAGAGACATGTAAATGGGCTGAATGCTTCCAAGATTCACAGGTCCTCAGGGAAAAATATACAGGAAAGATGTGTATCTGGATATACCTAGCCATTCAAAGATAGGTTTGTCTCAGGTCAAGAGTTGGGGAAATGAGTTTTCAGGCAGAAGAAATGAGCTGGGCAAAGGTTTGATGATAGTTCTATGGTTTCACAGTGGTTTTTTTTTTTTTTTGGTAAGCAATGAATGAACATTTACAAAAATTTTCTAAAACTATTCTACACACACATACACACATGAACAAGCAAGCATACTCAAAAAGCTGGTGGGGAAATGAAATTAAAAGACAATTTTTCTTGTGGTGCAAAATATCTTTTAAATCCATGCATAGTGTATTCAGATTTTCCATGAATGTAATATATTTCCTTTGTTGAAAAACCCTTAAATAATAGCTGAGCATTTATAGTTAGAAATCAATGGTAATTATTTATCCACTAACTTAGAAACAATTTCTGATGCGTCCTGCCTTCCCAAGTGTGTTTTAGTTTGGGAAAAGTGGAAAGCAATTCATGAAAGGGATAAAATTGAACACATTCACATTCTTCATAGCACTGCTAAGCAGACCCAGAAGGCAGACGGAGGGAACTGACACTTACTGAGCACCTGCTGCATTCCAGCCACTTCCACAGTACTGTTATTTCACCTTCTCAAAAGCAAAGTCTAAGACAGATACTATGCTTTCCATTTCGCTATAGAGAAAACATGGATTCCCCAGGATTGTTCTGTTGGAAACCATAAAGTTGGAAGCCAAGGTAGAGATGCTGCTTTCTCGGGCTTTTTCTCTATTTCTATTGCTTTTGACTCAGCTGAAAAGACACTGGAGAGGGGTGTGACCCCAGGCAGTCAATGACATGCAACTTTGGTCAAGTTCCGCCAGCAGGCTCCTAGGTGAGTGTCACAGCAGAGGTCACAAATAGCTTGTATCTCATATGGTTTCTTTAATCAAACTTCAGCAGAGAATAAATGACAAGCTAAGACTCAAGGAAATTAATACATGTGGGGATCTGACCTAGTGACTTTTTAGAAAGACTCCATAATTAATAGTGAAGGACTTTAAAGGAAGAATCTGATGGTTCCAGAGGCTGTGCCCTGGGCAGTCTCTGCTACACCAGCTGCCCTGTGCAATGTAGCCACATGCTCATCTGCAGAGGCTGTGAAGCATCAGAAACTTCTGTTGCAATATGGCCTTTCAGTAAGCTCTAAGTATGTGACTATATCAAAGGCATTTTCATGAAAATTATTCTTGCTATCAACAACACACTCATGTTTATTTTTTAAAGTCAAATTATGCATTTTTATGTGTGAGAGCAAAGCAAGATTTTTTTAACTCAGAAATTTCCTGTTGCAGCATCAGGAGAGGGGTTCCAAAAGAAAAAAAAAAATAAAAGCAGTTACATCTTTTCTTTAAGAAAACTCGCCAGTGTTAGAAGTTGCTGGGGGATAGATGCTATTTGGTGATGCAGGCTCTTTAAGAGGGTCAGGGGAACCCTTCCTCTATCCCATTCGAAACTCTGGACAGTTTAGACTTAGCAGAGGGCAGGCTGTCACAGTGTGGGCTTCTGATAATTTCCATGAACCTGATATTCATGAAGCCAACAGAGTAAAAGAGACCAGGCAGAAACACCCCAAGGTCCTGAAAAAGGCAGATATGCTCAAGCCCCAGAAGACAGACTCAGTCTCTGTGCTCCTTTCCTTCCTGTCTTCTTACAGCCTGTACATGCTGCAGTTCAATTTCCCAAAAGCAGAGCATGTCAGCCTCTCATTTTGGTGACATCAGCTACATCTCCCCATTGGCTTTCCACAGAAAGGAAGGGTATTCACGATTCCTAGTAAAACTGAAGCTAATCTTGAAACATGGGATGGGAGGAGCATGATTCTCATGTAGGGATAGGGAAAGGAGAACAGGCATTTCCCGTAGCGAGTGTAAGTCTCCTGGAAGAATGTGGATGAAGACTGTTCTAAGGAGCCTTCTGTTGGGTTAAAATATGCAGCTGATGAGTTAGCAGCTTGCATGAGTGTCTATAGTTCCTCCCTAGTTCCCAGGTTGACAAGAATTTCACATCGTTTTTTACCTTTTGTTTTGGAAATCAATTAACTTATTCTTAAAGATTTATTTATTAGAAAAGCAGAGTTATAGAGAGGGAGGGAGGGAGGGAGGAAGGGAAATATACAGAGATCTTATATCTGCTGGTTCACACCCCAAATGACTGCAACAGCCAGGACTGGGCTAAGCTGAAGCCAGCATAGAAGAGCTTTACCTGGGTCTTCTATGTAGGTGGCATAGGCCCTAGTACTTGGGGCCATTTTTCACTGCATTCCCAGGCACATTAGCAGGGAGCTGGAGGGAAAGTGGAGCAGTCTTGGGACTTGAGCCAGCACCCATGTGGTCCACTGGCATCACAGGGAGCAGCTAACAATGCAAGGTCAGCCCCTGGAAATTAACCTTTGATGATGACATGATTATGTTTGTTAATGAGCTCAATCTCAGACATTCCAGTGGTTGGCTTGTGGGTTTGTCATAACTTCCTCTAATTCAAGTTATTTCTAATTAAAGAGCCACTATTTTTAAATGGCATTTGTGGTCTTAATGGGAACAGGAGCCCCATAATTCAGGCTGTCTCAAAAAATTCTCAATATAACAGAATAGTTACAAATCAAGACAGTCAGACCAACTGCTCAGCTCTGCTGCCTACAGGTGATAAGATCTTGCACCAATTTCTTAACTCCTTGTCATCTTGGTTTCCCCAACTGTAAAATGGTGAAAAGAGGACAATCTATTTAAAAGGCTATTGTGAGCATTGAGTGAATAAATCTGAGTGGAAATCAAATAGTTTGTGGAGAAACAGAATTAAAAGGTAAGTTAATTTTCTTGAAAAAATATTGAAATCCATGTGTAGGAACACATATGTTCCATAAACATTTTGAAGATCCCCATTAAGTATAAACTCCTGTTCCCACATAGGGTAAGCTAATGCATTTCATGCAAGCATTCCTTCTGTTTCTGCATAACCTTTAAAAACAATAGCTGAGCTCAAATCAGCCATCAGCCACTCATGTATTATGATTTAAGCTAATACTCTATTGACAATGACGCTCATATTATATGAATTTGCTATGTTAGTTATTACTAGAGGAGTACCTAGCACAGGGTACTCCTGTTGAAATCCCTTCAAATAATAACAGTTTAACATAAATCAAACATGTTCCAACAAGACTGGGTCCAGCCAGCCTGCTGGTCCTTGAGAATCAGGGCCGTGCACTGTGAGATGTGACAGGTGTATGGGAATTCCAGGACTGTAAGGATCATGCACTGTGAGATTTACAGCTGTACGAGAACTCCAGGACTGTGACAGGACAGGTACTTAGGTGCCTAGTAAGTGAATTAAGAGCATTCTCTTTCTTAGGGTACAAATTGACTAGGAACAACAAGAACCACTTTAATTATAAGAATTATAATAAAGCCTCCCTGAAAGACAGAAAGAAAGAAATGAAGAAAGGAAGGAAGAAAGCGAGTGAGAGAGGGAAGGAGGGAGGGAGGGAGGGAGGGAGGGAAGGAAGGAAGGAAGGAAGGAAGGAAGGAAGGAAGGAAGGAAGGAAGGAAGAAAGCAAGCAAGCAGGAAAGAGAAAGAAAGAAGATAAAGACAGTCTGTGAGAGGGAGAGCGATTTCTGAGAGTGAAAACAGCAGAGCCAGAGCTGTGGCAGCCAGTGGTATTCACAGCAAAGCAAGAAAGCCTCCTCACCCACTTGCACCGTGTGCTCCCAGGCTGACTCTTGGGAGTCATCATCAGAGCTCTAAACAACCCTTCTGGGGGAGTAAAAACAGCAGGTCTCACACTTTGTACTAGAAGTTGAAGTCTTAGAGAGTGAGTTTTAAATGCAAGCTTGAAATCTTTTTTTTTCTGGGTTCTTTTAGTATTATTAAAAAAACATTTATTTATTTAAAAGGCAGAGTGACACAAAGAAAAAACAGAGATCTTCCATCTGCTGGTTCATGATCCAATTCAGCCTGCAACAGCTGAGGCCAGGAGCAAGGATCTCTGACTCTCCCATCCAGGTGGCAGGAACCCACACACATTGCCCAGTATTTCATGTCTTCCTACATTAGCAGGAAGCTGGATAAGAAGTACAGCGTATCTGGGACTTACACTGGCTCTGATATGGGATACAGGAGTCCCAAGTGGCAGCTTAACCCATTGTGCCACAATATCTGCCCATTTAGCAGATGAAAAAGCTATTCCCCCTCACCAATATTTTGAGGGTTATTGAATTTTTCTGGATTCTGCACCTCATAAATCAAACAAAATTGAACCAGATAACACAACAATGATCTCCAAATATTCTGGTTTGGGGTTTCCATTCTTCTGTACTCTTAGCATTTCTTCTGCTTTATAAAACTGCTTAGTCAGCTATTTCAAACATTTGACTTATACCACCACACAAACAAACTTGTTCAAGGCATCAGTCTCCTGTGTCAGCCTCCATGGAAGTCAGTTATGATTTGAGTGGGTCTCATGAAGCCATGTATTAGAAATCTAATCCCCAAAGAAATACCATATTGCCTTTGGGTGGCAATTTAAGGTTTGGAGGGGCCAGGAAGGTAGGATTCTTATACTGGGATTAGTAGATTGCTCAGAAAAGGAGTAGAGTCCTAAGCTTGCCTGCTCATGTTCTCTCTCTCTACCCTTTCCCCATGTTATGACGCAGCCGGAGGACCCCCACCAGAGATGTCATCCCCAAATCTAATTCCCATTCTTCAAAACTCTGAGAGATAGACAATGACTTTTAAAAAACATACTACCCAATCTGTGGCATTCTGCTATAGTAACATTAAAATGAATGAGACAGTTATTCCAGAGGTAGTAACTACTGGACAACTTGGTGGAGGAACTTCTAGCATACACATAGGTGTAGGCCCGCCTTCCCTGGAGTCCTGGTTGCTATCATCCCCCATGGTAAATTCACTCTCCTACAATGTCTCTGGTTTACAATCAAGTGGAGTTTTGAGGGCCTACAGCGTTGATTACAGGGGATCAATATAACACTATTCTAAAGTGGGTTGCAAATGGTTGTTTCCATCTTGCCCTCCCACCCTCTGTGTCGATGACCAAATCCTTCTGAAAGAAGATTCTTTTAGGGTTCACTCTAACACCAGAGTGCTTTGAAAGGAGTTCTTACCATTTTCCTGAGGTTTTTCCCATCATGCCAGGTGTAGGAGGAGCTGCTGGAGTACTCACTGCAGGTGCTTGAAAGAGATAGTTCGCTGCTGCTACAGCTGTTTCGAGGGCAGAGATGACCAGGGACAACAATCCCCAAGCTGGGGCATTTCAAGGTGGGGATTCCTGATTTTGCATTCAGTGGGCGTTCCTGAAAAAGCAGGACACTACTGAGCAAGGGCTGTGCCTTAGGGACAACAAGCACAAACTGAATCTCCTGGTGAGGTAGGAGAGAATATGGTGGAGTGACTAAAAGCATAGAGTTTAGAGTCAGACAGACTATAGGCTCAAATCTTGGCTTCTTTTTAATAATGGTGTGACTGTTGGGAGATTATTTAACCTATGTACAGTTATTGCATCCATTAAAAGTTTCCTTAGTGAGATTTTTTTAAGTCATTGAAAAGGCAAGCTGTTATGACTTATTAAAAGGGTTTGATTATAACAGAAAGGATGGAAAATATAATACCACTTAACTGTTAGAGTTATTGCAAGGACTAATTATAGTTTTAGATAAGAAGTGCAAAGCAGTGTGTAGACTATAACAGGTTTTTATTTATTACAAAGTAATGGTACTAATATGCAAATACTCCATAATGGTGATTTTTCATGATAACTGACCAGACTAGTAAAAGAATCAGAACAATATCAAAATATAACTGCTGCAAAAGGGAGAGAATGGGGTAGCATCCTTGGCTTTAGGGTTTGGTTGTGAAGTTAGGAGCCTGGATCTCCGACTAGATGTTACTTCAAAACACAATCTTGAGCAAAAAACAAACAAACAAACAAACAACAACAACAAAAAACAAGCATTTGACTCCAACGGACATGCAAATCCTCACTGGTCCGGTCCTGCATCCCTGCCAGGTTACCCAGATGATTCCCTCTGACCACATCATTGCAAGTTAGCAATCAAGCATCCACAACTTCTCTATGTCCCCTTACTGAAGCCATGCTCAGCCAATGACAATGTCAGGTATTGTGAGTACTCACCATTAAGAGATAATAGGACTTTTCATATCCAGTTGGCTGTCCAAATAGAATAACCCCTCACATTCAAAAAATATGGTCCCTACCCAGAAGGCTCAGGCTTTTAGAATTCTAGTGGGTCTGCATAAGGCAAGGGCAACAAATAAAGCTGTAAACATTCAAGCACATCTTGACAGCCACATTATAGGCCCCTCATGTAACAGATGAAGCTTCACAAAGTGGACAGGCTAAATTAATTTAGCATCTTGACTACCGAGAATAGACTCTCTCTATTACTGTCTAATTCCGGTTCCCTATCTATATAAAGCTTGTCTCTGAAACTCTGTGATGGGGAGCCATCTGTCTTTGTGTCACTTGCAGAGTGGCAAAGCCTCTTACTTATGCAATTTATTGACACTTTGTGTGTGCATTTAGTACCTGAGTACTTATCACTGTTCTCTGAATGCAATTCCAAGTGACGGTGACTAAACATTGGTTTGGGAAAGCAAGGCAGTGACGATCTCAGAATATAATACCTCTGGTAAATGTTAAGCCCCACCTTAAGGACAGAGAGCATGTTTAAATTTCTGTCTAATCAATATCCATAATGCTTAATAATGCCAGGTTTCCTAAATTCAGCATTTGTCTTGCCATCAGTGTTTTATTTTTGCCTTGTAACCATCTCCTAAATGTTCTAAAAATGCCAAGAAACTTTACTACTCCAATTCTCCCCCACTCTGAGTTTTGGCTCTAAATATCAAATGAAATAAAAAGTTGTCTTCTAATCTATCTTCCAGCAATGCCTATTGATTTATAACCGTGTTGCCTGCCAGGTGTAATACAGTGAGGAGAGCTACAGATTTGTATCTCAACAGATGCTGATCACCACTGACTGTCACATGGCAGCACAGCTGTTTGCTATGGCAGACAATTGGAATGTTCCTGGGACAACCATTCTAAGCCATCCCACGGGTATGTTTTCCATCTTCCCTAACACTCTCCCATGTTCTGTTGGAGGCAGCAGGGCGGTGGTTATTATACAAAACAGACTAAGTTCTGGTAGATTAGCCTACTCCTCAGGGTGGGGCTGTGTCCTATGAGGAGACTCAGAGCTCAGCTCCTCAGGAGGAGGAGTTTAAAGCCTTTGCTTGACTTGTGGTTACAGTTTACTTTCAGCCTCCTCTCATGCCACTGAAGACTGTGTGATTCTCTTTGTGTTTCCCACCAACCCTTTCCCACTATGACAGCCGTCAAAATCATACCTGTTTACAACTCAATTATTTTAATTGAAGGACACCCCTGACCAGCAATTGCCCATGTGTATAGATCCCACAGAATTGCTGGATGCTGATGACAGAAAACTAAAATTCAAAGAAATGGACTGATGCAATGATCTTCCAAATTTGAACTCAAGATACCCACCACAAGATGTGGGACAGCTCAGTCAGTGATATGAGGAGGCTGATGGTGAGGTTTTAAGAAGAGGAGCATTTTGTGAAACAGAGGCTTCCTATTTTACTTTAAAAATCTTTATTTGCTCTCATCTATTTCAATAGCAGAGAAAGAGAGAGAGAGAGAGAGACAGAGACAGAGAGAAGAGAGAGAGAATCTTCCATATGCTAGTTCCCTCTATTCTCTGACTGCCCAGAATTGCAAAGGCTTGATGACGCTGAAGCTGAGCTAACAGTCTGGAACTCAATCTGATATTTTCTTGTACGTGGTGGGACTCAATCTCTTGAGCACCTGCTCCCTTCAAGGCTACACATTAGTAGCCAGCTGGAATCACAAGAAGAGCTATAACTTAAACCTAGAAATTCAGATAAGAGATGCTGGCATCCCAAGCTGCATCTTAGCATTGCATCAAATGCCTGGCTAAAGGATTTTTCACACTTTCATCTGCACATACATCACCAAGGGATCATGTTAAATAAAACAGATTCTGGTTCAATATTTTGGAGGCATGTCCTGACACAATGTAGAATTAAAAAAAAAAACTGTCCTAGTGCTTCCCCATGGGCAGCACAGCAAACCTCCAGGAGTAGCTACTGTGTGGGGAGTCTATCTCTTGTGTGGTTTCCTGGGCAGCACACTCTATTCGCTCTTATGCTTATGCCTCACCTGGGCTGTGCTGAGCAGGACAGACAAAATGACTTAGCTCACCCACAGACCAGGGGTTCAGGGAAGGTATCTGTGTACATTCAGGGGCTAGTAATGAGTGATTCCTCAAGAGAGAACAGGAAAGAGTTACTTCTTCATACCAGGAACTTCTACCACCCTGCCCCACCTTGGACAATCCCTGTTGGAACTGGGAGCAGAATCCCTAACATCACAACTGCTCCTGCATTAGCATGTGATGATCACATCAGACTATCTACTCCAGGGAATAGGGATTCTGTGGTTAACTAGTTGAACCATCATTGATGGGGCTTAAATCCTAGCTCCTTGAACATGGAGAGTTACCTAACCCCTTCAAGCTTCAGTTTATTTGTAAAATGAGATCATCAGCACACCTACCACCTGAGATCATTATGAAGATTGAGCAGTGTCTGATATCTGGTAATACATAGGAACCTCTAGGCATTGTTACCATCATTACTGCATTAACATATTAATGTATACATATACATATATACATTTATATATAAATATAAACCTATACATACACACACATCGGGACTTCAAAAGGGTCAAGGTAAATATGCATTATCTTTTAACTATATTTTTCTACAAATATTTTGAAACCCCCTCATACATATACTCCCCAACACACACACACACACACACACACACACACACACACACACACACACACACACATCTTGACTTTTTCATTAAACCCTACATTTACAGTCCTGCTAGTAACCTGATGTAAAATTTTTGATACATGGTAATTATCTAATAATCTGCAGATAAATGGCAAAATAACTATGTTGAACAACACCCCATCCCCAACCCTCCCCACCCCAGGCATGGCTGATACAAGTTTCTGGAAAAACAGAGAAGCAGGGCTTCTTGCCATTGGTTTGCTATGGTAGTCTTGTGGCACCACTGAACAAGAACAGAAAGGGGCTAAAGCCTCAGAGAACTTCTTAGTATCTGAATATTGTTAGCATACACTGTGCCACACTCATTTTGTACATAATCTGATCTAATCCTCACTACAAGTCTCTGAAATGTAAAAGAAATATCATTATCTTCATTTTCTACACGGGAAAAATAAAGTGCAGAGATCTTATCATCTTGCTTAAGATCATCAAGCCAACAGCTCTCTGAAGTCAGGCCCCAGTCCCAAGCACTGTGCTGCAATGTTCCCTATGGTCCCTGACAGTAACAAGAATTCTAAGCACCACTCAGAACAGGAACTTTCCTGACTGATTGTCAGTGATAACATGTAATGCATTATGACCATTAAAATTTTCACCAAACAGTGCGTGTTGTCTCTTAAAACATTATCTTGATTATTTAATTGGTAAACACCACCCTGTTTGCAGGATCCAAAGTATATTTTTCTCATTATGTACGCTGGGTTACCATCTTAAACGACTCCAAAACTTTAACATCTTACTGTGAGAAGTACAGTATAAAACGTTCAATTTTAATGAAAGACTACGGAAACATGATATGAAGCCAAGCACTTCTTGGATTAAAACTTCACACTGAAAACATTCCTGACTTATGGCCAGGAGTTAGACCTAATGGCCAGGAATATAGACTGGATACTGTTGGGTCTTTGTGAATGATTCAAGGGGTAGCATCCCAGTGAAATTTAATTCCAATTTAATTTTTAAAGTCTTTATCTCCTACATAGATTAAATGTAAACTGACAAAATTATACAATTAGATGAAGAATCAGTTGCCTGATATGTTCTTGACATTTTTAAGCCTAATAAATTTCATTACATATTTATTTGTTGTATTTTCTTCTTAGTTACTCTGTGAGCATCAGGAAGAGTTGAGAGTCATGCTGCTTAAAGTATTGTCAAATAAGCACAAAGCTAACCCCAGCTAAGGAAAAAACACAGAACCCATGAATTTTTAAAAGTTCATACATAATATATCATAAAAGTTGGATGAATGATATGGGACATGGGCTTTAATAAAAAGCTCCTTGACCATTTTTCAGAGATGTTGAGATGTAATCAATACCCAAAAAGGTATCGTGGGGACAAAGCCAAGATTTATGACACTTTTGTCGAGAATGACACTTTTTGCTTACTGCATCAGCTGGGGGACATGATATTGAATTTCAGAGAACACAGGAAAGGAAAGCATTTTGATCTGCCTGACAATGCTTCAAGGATGCACTTTATGGTTCATTTGTGACATCATACTTGATGGAAGGAAAATGTTCGGAAGGCAACTGTGGAACTCACATGTAGCTCAACATCCGTTAGCGACTGAGCCAGGCTTCGGTTTCTTTCTGCCTCCGAGAGCAAATCTCCGGATGAAAGATCTAAGATGCGTGAGTGAAGTTTCTAGGAAAAACCAAGCAGAAACATTGAACAGTGATAATTTAATTGTCAAAGTCCAGACTCAGACAGGTAAATGTAACAGTTGACATTTCCAGATTAGAGAATATGTGCCGTAATTTTTTTTTGGAAGCTAATTCTATTTTATCTTCCTTCCATGCAAATTAGTTTATAAGTAATAATTTTATTTTCACAGTCTACCTGTAAAAATAAGAATAAAAAGCAGTAATTAGAAAATAAGGAAAAATGTGAATTTTACTGCCTACTATTGCAAAATTGACTTTTCGTATTCACATTTTAAAAAGTTGCAATCAAGTTAATCTTATGGTCGGGAGTGGTGAAAATCTGAGCAAGCAATTATGAAAGAGACTTTATTTCTAAGCAGCACTGATCTTGCGAAATCTTCCCTTCGACACATTTTAACTCAAAGTCATTAATGTCATCTGTGAGGAACAATTAATGTGAATAGAAAATAATTGCATCAGGGACCTGGGGACTTGGAGTACTTTATGGATTAATATTCACATGCTATTCAATTATATAGTGAATTCTTGATTTAAGTTGCTTGGGAGGCCTACTAAACCAGGGACCTCACACTCTATTAATCCTTATACTAACTACCGAAGCTTTCTGTGGACAATCCAGTTGATCTGCTTAACTACAAATAAAACAAAGTATGTGATTTATATAAAATATTTTTCCAAACTGGTGACATTTTTGAAAATAGCACCAGTTGTCTGATTTCTCTTGGGTGCAACTTCTGTGGCTTCAGAGTAAATAAGTAATGTGTGTAAGGCTGCTTCACTCACCTCTGTAAAGTCTTCCTACTCCTTTGCCTCCATGGGGAGGCCCAATTGCACACCGAGGGTGATGAGGCAATGGCTCAAGGTACTCTGACTCCTATTAGTCTGGCAATGAGCTGAGAGTGCAGGAGTTACCCCACAGACCACTTTGTTCCTGCAGATCTACTATGTTGTCAAACAAGGATCACAAACTACACTGAAATGAGTCATATTCTCTCTTACCCAAATTTGACTTCCCTCATGCTCATCAAAAGAATATTCAGCACCTACTGACAGGTGCACACTGTTACAAATATTTGTTCCCTCCTTTTGATGGGGTGAAGAGAGTGTTTCCTGTTATAGATAGACCAGCTCTCACTCTCTTTCTCTCTCTTTCTGTCTCACTGGCCAAACACTATTTGCTTCACACAAGAAGGCTGCTTTCTCTCTATATTTGTGTATGTGGAGGGCTTTTGACAAACCTGAGAATAAATCTTACACTGATTGCCCGTTGCCTTGAAAATACAAATTTTTCCAACAGAGTTAAGACCTCAAGGTAACTAGAATCATAACATTGTTACTGTTTCTGGACCATTTTTATAACCCTTTCAGATCCTTCTAGAATGTGAGATGCCTGGGGACAAAGATAGTTTTTCTTGTCATATACTCCCCAGGACCTGTCACAGTACATTGTACTCAGTCAGTCCCCAATTAATGCTTGATACACACTCCACAGAAATCTGACTTTACATTTCCCCACCTGTGTATAGGTTTTTAAGACTGAGAGAATGCCAGGTGAATTATAATATACGGCCTAAGAATACACTTATCAATAAGCAAATAGTCTAAGAAGTTATGGGAAATGACATTCAACTAAAGAAATGATGGTTTCGAGTGGTATATCATGTGATTTGGGAGAAGTGTCTTCTATAGATTAGACGTTCTGACTTCTTATTCAGTTCGTGATCATACTGCTTACTTCTTTCTCAGACAGATGATGTCACTCTTTCACTTTTTGCATGAATATGTGTATGTAGAACCTGTTCTCATAAAGATATTATGTTCAAGTGATTATTATTCAAGTGTCATTCCCATGCTTGAAAAGGGCAAAGTCTGTGAGGAAGCAGGTGCTGGTGGTCAAAATGAAAGCAGCCCTTGGCTCCATCCTTATTTAAGCCACAGGTTTTACATAATCTGGGGAGTATAACTGAACCACTGTAACACAGATTCCCATCTCTGAAAGAGATGGATGGAGGTGGCCTCTTAATCCACCATCACAAGCAGGGAGAAGCACAACCAGGGTAGAAAGTAAGAGCTAATAAGAAAGGAGATTGCATGCCACGCAGCCTGACACCTACCTACTGTGAAAAGGGAGAGTTGGTGTTGGATGAGGCATAGAATAATCATCTGCTGGGAGTGTTCCCATGTAGATCAGGCAAACAAAAGTGAACTCAGAGGAACATAAAACCTACTTCTATGTTAAGGCTCTGGGGAAGAAAATGGTAGGTGAGTAGCTACTCTTCACAAGACTTTTCTTTAAAAACTATGAAGTGTACCTGGCATGGCAGCCTAGTGGCTAAAGTCCTCTCCTTGCACATGCCAGGCTCTCATAGGGGCACCAGTTCTAATCCGGGCAGCCCTGCTTTCCATCCAGCTCCCAGATTGTGGCCTGGGAAAGCAGTCAAAGATGGCCCAGGGTCTTGGGATCCTGCCCTCGTGTGGGAGACTTCGAAAACGCTCCTGGTTTCAGATCAGCTCAGCTCCAGCCATTGAGGCCACTTGGAGAGTGAATCAGGAGACAGAAGACCTTCCTCTCTGTCTCTCCTCTTCTTTGTATATCTGGCTTTCCAAAAAGAATAAATAAATCAATCTTTTTTTAAAAAAAAATACTATGAAACTCACAAGAGGCTATAGGAGAGGCAAGCAGTTTCATTTCTATGTGTACAGATACATGTTATGAAAGCACTTCAAAATGTTTGTGGCAGAAAGGAATTAGACGCTTAGTAGAAATTATTAAAATGTACACTTAGGTTGTTTATAGTGGGTATTTTTTCATGAAAAAAAATTTCTGTATCTGAAGCACAGAGCTACATGCAGAACTCCCAGAGACCGCTTCACTCCCCAGATGCTCACAATGGCCAGAGATGAGATGGGGAAGAAATTTGGAGGTTGAATGCATCCAGGTTTCCTGTATGGGTGGCAGGCACCTGATTATTGGAGCAGTTATTGTGGCCTCTCAAAGTCTGCAGTGTCAGAAAGCTGGAGTCAGGAGCAAGTCAGAAAGCAGATCTAGATACTCTGATAGAAAGGTGGGTTACTAAGTATCTACTTGGTGAACCTTTTTGAAGTAATCTCATTATATTTTTTCAAACTATTGATGCTGTATGTGCTTACTTTAGGTCTCAGAGGAAACTGGGTAGTAGGTACATACACAAAACTCAAGTGATTATCAATAAGAACACTTCTGTGTCCCACACAGAGTCCACCTGCCTAGTTAGTAGGTGTTTGCTCCATCAAACACTTATCCATAGAACATGCTGGATTTTAATGTCCCTCTACATCAACTTTCAAACCAGAAACAGCTTATACCTACAATTCTTAAGTTGCATATCCAAATGGATCCTCGATAACAATATGCTTTCTTTCATTTCGAATACAGAAGGTAGCAAAATTACCCAGAATGGGTTAATAAAGGACCTGACCACCATATGTTACCTGATCTTACTACCTGAGATTCCCCTGTCTTAGAAACGGAGACTCACAGCACCCATATCTCCACTCCAGAGAGAAGTAAAAGATACTTCCACTCCATTATAACAGTTTGACCATTCCTCTGTGTCAGACTATTTTGTGTTTCTGGAATGTGCTCATCTGCCCTTTTGAGTTGAGTTTTAGTGCACCTTCTCATGCTACGTTATCCAAAATGACACAGAGAGAAAGACATACACACACACACACACACACACTCACAGAGAGAGAGGACTGGCATCTGCTGGCTCATCCCTCAAATGCTTGCAATTAATTGGGTTGGACTACAGCTCAGGTCAGAAACTAAGAACGTAATAGAGGTCTCTCATGTAGGATCCAGAATTCCAATGACTTGAGCAGCACCTTTGTACCCCATCTCGAAGTTCGAATTAGCAGGAAGGTAGAGTTATAATCTTGAGGATCAGGGAACTGAATCCATGTACTCTGATGCAGAATGTGGGTATCTTAAACAGTAGATCAAATGCCCTTCTGAGCATGCTTTGATGTTATTAACTTCCTACAGCTTCCTGTGAATTCACCTTCCTGGGTAATTTTGTTGCAGGATGGAGAATATTTGTAACAAATCTGGCATACACTAAAGAGAAGCATTTTAAATATGGCTCTGAATTAGACATAGCCAGATGATTAAGCTTTGCTCCTCCTGTTGAGTAATAAAGCAATTTTCATAGGTTTGCGTAAGGAATTCTAAAAGTAAGTTCAAGAAAATTCGCAAAAATAGATCAGAATCTGATGAATATAATTTTTCTCAGTAAGAGTTTTACTCAACAAAGAATCTTCCCCCCAAAAAACCTCAAAAATTTGCCTTAATCACATTCAAACCTTAGTTTTTGACACCTTCAAAAAGGTGATTTTTTTCATCAGCTCTTCCAGACCTCTTCAAGAGAGAATGTAGAAGATGTTTGGGTTCACATTTCGCAGGTTTTATTCTCTTGCATTAAGAATTTATTATAAAACTGAATATTATATGACTTCATATTATATAACTGAGTATGATACGGTCATTTCCTAGATTGACAAAAATTTGAACTCAGGATAAAATCTTTTTTGGATAAAAGCTGATGTTTAATTAATTATGCCATTACTTCCATTTCAGGATACAAAGATAAAACATAATATCTGCCCCAGCCATCTAGCTGATGCGACACAATGGATGTATTGTTAGAACATGCCAGAGGTCTTTTCAAATGTACATCCCAGAATGATTCGATCTCATTTCACTGTATGAAATATTTGTGCCTATTTTTTAAGTCATCAATAGCACTCTCTACTGCAATGACCTGTGGGAGGTCTTGGCTGTAGACTACCCATGCAGGTACTGTGCTGTGGTGACAGTATTCTCAAAAGAGAAGTCGAGAGACAGTTATAGTGACCTTGTCCATTTATTAGCAACTAAGCACAGGCATATATAAGGCGGGGCCAGGGAAAATAAGCCTCAGGGTAGTAATAATATTTCTA